TAAAACATAATGTTGTCACTAATAGCAGCGCAAAAACAGCGAATAATGTGGAAAAAACAGGAAATCTATTCAACTTTGTGGGTTTTAGATGCGTACGCTGTGAAAACTCTTTGAATGATCCAAAAATCCCCGACACGATATGTCAATTTTTTAATTCTGCAACAACACGGTCACCATTACGTAGGTAAGAGCTTTAATTTATAAAAATTTCGATGCCCAAAATAACTGTTCTACGCAAGTGAAGTCGCCGACACAGCCTACACCTTTTAAAAATTCTAAGATATTAAAGAAATGTAGGACACTTCAATATCTTAGAATTTTCTTTTTTTAAATAAAACACTTTAACGGTATAAAATGCGATATATTAGTTAAACTTATTTGGAAATGATACGAAACGAAACGTCGGGCCGAAGTTAAAAATCATTTCCAAATAAGTTTAACTAATATATCGCGTTTTAAACCGTTAAGGTGTTTTATTTATATATTATACTCGCGTAAACTATAGACAGTATTTAAATGTGGCATTTTTGAACTTAACGTGCGTGAACTGTCAACCATTGCCTTTTAAACTCAATTGTAAATTTGTTGGCGAACAATAAAAGTAAGAGAAACGAACAAAGATCTCACCATCGGTCTGTTTCGGGCACAAATAAACAGCAGATTCAAATGATTAAAATTTTGTGTTATCTGTTATTTGTACTACTATACATCACTCGTAAAAATACGAAACATACTTGTTAACTTATTATTATCAACAAAGGCGCCTATCTTACAAACCCCTTCCCCCAATTTCATACTATAACAATTCATGTTTTAAACCGTTTTACTTAACTGCCAATTTTGATTAGCTATTTGCCTCGAGCCTTTGATACAGTTGAGGCTATTAATCGTTTTCCGTTTCCGATACAGAGGTCCCCTGAAATGGAAACATTGTTTGAAGGCGACCTAATTGTGTAAAGGGGGATTCATTGTTCCAGGGATCGAGTGCGAACAATTAAATGAACTGCGATGAACAACTAGTTCATAGTACGCGGTCAACAAATGCACACGATGTTCTTTATCACTAAAAATATAACGTTCAATCGAGAGCTAACAACATCTCCTGGAGAGGCCGTCAGCTCGAGATGTCGAAACGTAGAGAACCTCTTCTCGCTTACATCGGCCGAACAGCTCGAAAAACAATCATAAACAATTTTCAGTCTAGTAACAAAAGATTATACACAGGCTCGCTGGTCTAATGGTAATAATGTGTTGTTTATAACTGGTCGTGGATTCGCTCCCCATTGGGTTCGACATGTTTCTCATCACTTTATAATATTTCTGCAACAAGTTGGATTTCGTCTGGACACCACCGTCCTTAGAGTAAAGAGTCGTGAAGTTAATCGCGTTTTAGTTTCAATTTGAGGTTTTTGAAATTTCCAAAGCCAGTAAAGGCCGACAGCGCATCTTGATTAGATGCTATATGCCTGAAATATTTCACTTTCCATCACTGCTTGTCTATCGTTATAAAAAATAACGAGCAAAATATATGGGAAAAAGGTTTTATTCATAAATTTTCCTCAAAAATATTCGACACACGTTTACATCGTTTAAAAAGAATTGGTATTTTTAAAATAGTGTTCAACAATAAAGCTCATTGAAAAAACATCGATAGCACTGAAAATAACTTTCCACTGAAAACGATACAAATTGGGGATTTTCGAATTTGGAGAAACCAATTAGGAACAATCTGTGCCTGACAATACTGAATGCTTGATTCATAATAGAATGAGAATCGGCGGTACAACAACGATAACAAAGGGGAAATAAAAATATAAAATATTACTACAATTCATACATCGCAAAGCATTCCCAGAACACGATAAATTATAAAGAAGTCAATATTGACACACTATTTTGGTAGTTAGACTTAAACGGATGTAAAATTGTACAGATTTTTTATAATTAAGCCTTTGTTTTATTTTTGGGTTCCATATACATCACTTCAAACTGTAATTTCTGTAATATATAAAGTGCACCTGTTTCCCTGTAATAATAAGTAAATAAGTGAAATCCATCTTAGGCATGGAGCGAACACATCTCTGTGTCCGTTTCATAGTTTTATTTTCAGGCATGTCCCGGCTTCAGTGCCCTGCCCGATAGAAATAATCTATCGTTTTCCCTGTTTCGAACGCAAGTCGTCGCGGAGTTAACACATTACTTAACAACAATAAGTACTTATAATAAAATAAATTTTTAAAATAATTATATGTTTTCCACGATATCAAAAAGCTACGTTAAAATTTGTGTACCTAATCCACCAGTAGCGAAAATCACGAAGTCACAATTGGCTGGTTTATATTACACGAGATATAGTTGTACAATTTATAATAATTAGTTAATGTGTGTACGGGCACCGGACCACGGTCCAGCGGATAAGTGTTCCAAATATGTACACACATTAATTATAAGTACATCGCTAAGCGTGGTCATTTACGCGTGTTTCATAATACGCTACGATACGTAGAGCCTGTTTCAGTGGCTTCATCTGTGAAGTGTCTGATTCAGTTGCAGATAGTGTATTTCTCATTTAAATAAAACACTTTAACGGTTTAACGGGGAGACCACGGTGGGTCACGGCTGCTGCAAAGCATCCGAAACGTCGGGCCGAAGTTAAAAAACATTTTCAAATAAGTTTAACTAATATATCTCGTTTTAAACGGTTAAAGTGTTTTATTTAAATGTGTACTACTTGCGTAAACTATCGACAGTATTTAAATAAAACACTTTAACGGTTTAAAACGCGATATATTCGTTAAGCTTATTTGAAAATGATTTTCAAGTTCGGCCCGACGTTTCGGATGCTTTGCAGCAGCCGTGGTCACGGGGAGACGTGACCACGGCTGCTGCTCAAATAAGTTTAACTAATATATCGCGTTTTAAACCGTTAAAGTGTTTTATTTAAATGTGTACTACTCGCGTAAACTATAGACAGTATTTTATTGACAGTATTTCTCATTATCACAATCGATTAGATGTTTTAATGATAGGGGAATACAGGCAAGCATGGTAGATGATGAATCACTTGATGGTAGATGAAATACCCAAGCCATATAACATCTACACTAGATGCGCTGTCGACCCATTTGGCTTTGCTTATTTATTTGATTTGGAAATCGAAACGCGTTCAAACTTGACTGCTTTTGCATCTATTACCCATTTGACATCCAGATATCCAGACGAAGTTCAACATGTTTCACCAAAATTATAAATACCCGATAAGGATCGCACGACCCGTTGATTACTACTGTATATAACTTCAGCTGCTATATTTTCAATGCCATTAAATTTTGTATTAATGCGTAAGCGCAATTTGAACAATACACGAATGTTCGCGACCCAACTATTGGACAGCAACGCTTTTAAACTTTAAAATTGTAACCACACCACGCGATGCGATCGTTGGCCTAGTTCGGATCTTAGGTAAATGTTTATTTGTTTTGTTCTAAATATAATTGAAATATTTTCCAGTAGAAACGAAAAAAGCAATACGACAATATTTAAATTCAATGAAAAACAATGTGCATTCAAAATTAAGACCAATATGTTACTTCTCTGCATTATCTGCAGTTGACACGAGTACACATTTAAAACTATTTTAACGCGAAATAAACGTATTTTTAAATTATTTTAACTACATTCCACGTTTTTGGATGCTTATGTTTGTATCCCCCCCTCCCGTGACCACGGCAGCTGTAAACTAGTATTTTTCGTTTTAAACATAATCAGCAAAGAGCTAGCATATACTTATCTTATGCTTAACAAAGTCGGAAAAATCTATTAGTTCATATTTGCCTTAAAAAAACTCTAGGAATCACAATATTTGTATTTACTTTTATTACAGAAGATTTTTAAATACTGTCGAATGCAGTAATTACAATTATTCATCGGTAATAACCATGAAAGCCTCTTCATTCAATTATCGGAAAATTCTTTTCACTTAAAATTTCGTCATCAATTTAAAATTCTAAACTTGATATTCTCTTTGTGACGTGTTTAAAGGTTAAACTAGACTTTGTACGTTATGTAAATATAAAATGAAATCCCCGAGTGGGGCATGGGACAGTGTCTGTGTCTGTTTTACCCACGTACAACCATAGAATGTAGATAAACATACAATTGTGTCTGACTATTCTAAATTTCTACAGTTAACGTAACTAAGTAATTGTATATAGCGAATGTGTAAAATACCCTTTCAAACGAATCGGGATGAAGGGGGAGTGATATAGAAATCCAAACACGTAATGTCAGATGTATTTGCTAAAGCAAAATGCAACAAAACGTGTCCCGAAAGGCAAGTACAATGCAGTTGCGAATAGTGGCTCGGAATACAACGTATGGCGAACACATACGTATAACAATATATAACTATACAAAATAAAGTTGTGAGTTTTTATAGAGAACAGACAAGCTGGGGTCATTTGATGGTAAACGATATATCACCGACATATCATACAGCTGTCGACCTATTTCGACTTTGGATATTCGGAAATCCACAGACTGAATCGGAAAACCAATGAAACTTCAGGGTTTTTCACTTATGGACTATGGTTCGTGACCCATTGCTACCTCTACACCAATGAACACATACAGAGAACGTATTTCTAAACAATTAAAATTTTCTCTAGAACATATTGGACTACGTCTGGAAATCTAGATGTTAAATGCGTGGTAGAAATAACGTAATTTCGCCCAGTGTAGTACGTCCAAAGATGAAATAGCATTGAAGAGTTTCGAATATCCAATGCCAAAAGAGGTCGATAGCGTAACTTATTTAGATACCATTTGGTCTGATTATTTCATTTTTCATCAAAAACTCCATGTTTGTCAATCCACTCCTACCATATATAAAAGTTCTTCTTCAACTCTGTTGCACGTCGCTTCGGAAACCAGGCTAGCACTGGGAACTTTAACTGATGTGGGCCCTGTTATGTAGAGTTAACGCCATATTTTTTTTACAGTCACAGTTACGGATTGCGCTTCGCAAACTGCACCATCGACATCGAAGGATGGTAATAACCACGTAGAAGTAACAAGACCTAAGACGCTAGATCTTCTCCCGCCACCACCAAAGAAAGAGAGCAAACGGGCACAGGTAAACCATTTCTTATGAGATTTTATTTAAAATAGCTTTAAAAGGTAATAGCTGTCTACGACCATTTTTAATGTCTGGTATGGTATCTAACAATTAACGGGTCGTGGGTTCGATCGGACCGGGTCTAAAAAATTTCTGATCAATTGATAATTTTTCTGAAACATGTCGGACTTCGTCTGGAAATCTGGATCCTAAAGTAGAATATTGAAATTCTGGCCGGGTTACAACCCCACTGTCCATAGGTGAAACAGACCTCGTCAAATTTTCGAATCTCCAAGCCAAAATAGGTAGACAACACATCATGCTTCGATGATATAGGGCTGGGGTAATTCACTTACTATCAAGTGAGTCACATGCTTGCCTGACCTCCTCCATTTGTAATGTGTAATTTTTGTAGAGGCTGATAAAAATTGCTGAGTCATTTTCTTGTAATAATCTAATGATAAGAGAAAGATAGAACTCAGTTGTAAAACGTACGCATTACGTAGGAGCGTGCCAAAGTTCCTAGATTCGATTTGCCAAAAACCGTACTTAAATATACTCAAGCAAAAAGGCTACTTTTTTCTTGAGTATCTTTGCTATTAGTCACAACGCAATGCAAATATTACTATATTATATATATATAACAGCTATAACATTCCCCAAAAAATGATCTACCTAACACAAAAATAATCAATTCGAACCAGTAGTTCCTAAGATTAGCGCGTTCAAACGAACAAACTCTGCAACTTTATATATTAGTATAGATTAGATTTGATTGTGTTAGTAAAAGAACACAATGCCAGTACTGAGAATAGAAACTGCTCATAGTACTCTCCCACATCGAAAACGAGAAGTATTATAATAAATCAAATCTATAATAATATCATTTGAACTAAGATCTTTTGGCTCCCCGAATCTTGACGTATGCAATAATCGAAGTATCTCGGTTGCAGGTGTTGCAAACCGTTGGCGATTTTCATTTCTACTTACTTGAATTAACGATCTATTTAGACTGAAAATAATTATTTTTAATGCATCATGAATTTATATTCATCCATATTCTTGCACTCTTGTTGTTTATTCATAAAAGAAAAAAATATGTATTTTGCTTGTAAATATTTCAATTCATAATATTTTTGAAATATGATGAACTCCGTCTGAAAATTAGGATATGAAAAAAAATTGGCTGTAATTAAAAATCCAACACCAATTAAGAAATGAACTTAGTCCGATTTGAAACATTATTCCTACTTTTTTAAATTAATTTGCTTCAGTACATGATATAGTATAATATTAGAAAATAGATAATTTATGTATAATAACAGTCTATCGTTACAGTCTATACATTAAAGGTCGTAATTCTAATATCTGTTTAGGCTTAGAAGTTGCGCTATAACTTTTCCCAATAATCTGTAAAGGTTGTTAACCCCTGCCATGTGAAGTGCCTATTTGAACTTTTGAATAAATAGAACACTTTTAGGATACGTTGAATTCTATAACACAGAATTAACATGAAGCGATAGAAAACAGTGTTGAAATAATTGATAAGTTGTTTATTTTCATCTTTCAGTTACAGAACAAAGCGTTTTTGTTTGGGCTAATACTAGATATTTATAATCAAAGGTAGCAAGTTTAGTATGACAATAAAATATAATTATTAAACAAACAAACCAGTAAAATTGTAGTCAGTAGTTTACGCTAGCTTGTTAGCTTGTTTAAACTACGTTACGACGTTTCGGCTGCTTTGCATCGGCCGTGGTCACGGGAGAAATGAGAACACTTTTTTTTGTTCTACGTCGGACTATAGGTAAAATAAGTAAAAAAAATTGCGTTTTAATCCGTTAAATGGTTTTATTTAAACTTAAAAAGTATCTGTTTTGAATTAAATTTTTGATATTATACGATCCGAATCAAAGTATTGCATTTACGTTACGCTGTTAATTTGAAAACAACTCAAATTTTGTTGTATACCCATAAGCACAAGATTCGCGTTGTTTTATTCATACATGAGCTTTTTAGCATGAAAAAGCTTCCCTGCCTCTATGCCTTTTATTTAAAAAATAATGTTCCGTAGAGATTTTGCATAATAGCCGTGGATAGGGCTTATTTGCACAGTGTCTTTCTAGATGCTTTTACACTTTCGTGTAACGATCTTTTGAATATTCATATTTTCTCTCAAAGGTGATCTCGATCAATCTTATCATTCACGTTCTATAATACAGGAGGACTGGCAAGCATGATGAAATATAGCCTTATAACGTCTCAACGCGATTGTTGACCTATTAGCTTTCGATATTCGGGAATCCATCCACAGAGTCAAGCAAAACTCGATAACTTTACTGTTCATCTGTGGGCAATGGTTTGTGACCCAGCCAGAATTTTGTTTTCCGGAACTCGAATTAACTATATGTTTCAACTTCAACGAATTTTGATAAGGTATGTTGAACAAAATAATAATACGTATTCACTAATTTCCTACAATTATGCACAGGTATCTATCTAACAACAGAGCGATAAAGTCCCAACAATCTACGAGTGCGGAGGTTTTAACAAAGAGTTACTTTTCTAGTACATTTCCGGGTGACACTATATCTTCAAGTTCTAGATTTTTTTCTACAATTCGATCTTCAAACTTTAGACATCGTGGACTACATTGAACCAGTTCAAGTTTATAATCTTGGTATAATTAAAAGTAAATGTTGTCAAAATATCGATCGAATTTCGGTTGAATCCTTACTAATATTATAAATGCGAAACTAACTCTGTCTGTCTGTCTGTTACTCTTTCACGCCAAAACTACTGAACGGATTTGAATGAAATTTGGTACACATATAGTCTAGACCCTGAGAAATAACATAGGCTAATTTGCGAAATGCGAAAAGGGGGTTGTAAGGGGTTAAAGTTTGTATGGAAATTCGTGGTTTTTGAAGATAGAACATTAAAACTTTCTTCTTTGGCTTTTTGAGAATAGGAGTGGGAGTGGGGGTGGGATTGAGAGTGGGAGTGAGAGTGAGAGTGGAAGTTAGAGTAGGAGTGATGTGAGGTGAGAGTGTTGCGGCAAAGTAGCACTTACGACATAGATTGGCTGCGATAAATACGCAATTACGTAAATTAATACACAGCCTAAATAATTAAAAATTCTACCCCAAATCACTATTCCACGCGAACGAAGTCGCGGGCACAGCTAGTTGTAAATAAAACTATGTATAAGCATCATAGAGTATCATAGATTACAGACTTTTTTGAACATGAAGTTTAAAGAATTATTATTTATTGATGATATTAAATATAATATCATTCCGATTTAACTTAACTCGGAGATGTTTAATAAGTTTTAATGGATCAAATCACAATGCACTTATGAAAGCCAAACAATTTAAATTAATAACAAATAATATATTAATGTCTTTTTCTTCCTCTGTAAAGTTAAATCGTTATTTTTATTTGAAATTCTCAATTCTTATTTTTATTTTATTTTCAACATAATTTGACCCAGATTGCGAAACTACAATACCGTAATTCGCGAAACGGGAACAATTTATTGTTCCCTGAGAAATTGTAAGTCAATTATAACTTTGTGTAACGATCTTTTGAGTTTCTTGTTAAGAATTAGATACTTCATTTATTGTACTTATTTAACTGTCCAGAACAATGGGCTTCGGTGAATTATTTCGCGTCTCCCCGCGATATTACTGCCTAACAGCTATAACACATTGGGTTATGCTTTCGGCCGGTTTGGACACAGAATTCCGATCAAACCTTATTTAAAGCTTATGGCTGTGACAGCCTTATACTATTTACGGTTCCGTTAGTTTAAAAAAAACAACACCGATATAACCGGTATTAACAGAACCGTCTATAGTTTACGCGAGTAGTACACATTTAGATAAAACACTTTAACGGCTTAAAACGCGATATATATTATAGGAGACAGTCTCCCCGTGGTCAAGGCTGCTGTAAAGCATCCGAAACTTCGGGGCGTAGTTAAAATTATTTTCAAATAAGTTTAACTGTTATATATATCGCATTTCAAACAGTCAAATTGGTTTATTTAAACGTGTTCTACTCGCGTAAACTACAGACGGTTCCGTTAGTTTTACTCACGCAGAAAGTGCACCACGACAAGGCAGTGACCTTTCAGTTTTTATACACTTGTATTTTTTTATATCGCTAGAACGTATAATTAACTTTCAGGCAAAAGTTCCAAGCATCAACCTCCCAGACCTACCGGAGTGCATCACCAAAGTCGAGATCTCATCAATGCCTGAAGGCGACGTTGCCACACCACTAACCGCCCAGCATCAGCTACAACTGTTGAAGGAGAGGCTCGAACAACAGGCGCAACAAACCAGAGCAGCTGTTGCGCAACTTATGCTGTTGCGCGACCAGCTCGCCGCTGAACAAGCTGCTCGCTGCGAGGCTCAGGTATTTTATAGTCTTATTATCGTCAACTTTAACAGTTCCTACCGCTGGAATTTGAGATATTGGAATAATATATGATTCTAATCATTGCACATCATGGTCTAAATAAATTACGACACGGGCAGGACTTAAACCGGCATTTACATCATTCCATGAGCTACCAAGTGGTGCTTCAAGGCCTACTCGAGTCGTAACTTTTTTCAAATTATAATCGATTATTAAAAATAAAACATGTCGGTCAAGATAGCATGTTGAGTTGGTCCTTTGCTGGTTTTCCAAGAAGAAGGTGTCGGATTTAACTTAAGTATTTTTTGTGCATGCAGGCATGGTCTATCCATTACGACAACATTAAAATATATAATAGTATCATATATAATGTATTCATAAAGAAAAAAAAGTCGTTTATATTTAGTATGCCTTATCACCAACTTTATATAATGCTAATACATAATTAAATAAAATTGGATGGCAATGAAAACGTAACTTATTTAAATGCTTTGTATTTATTCGCCACGAGAATAACGGATAATATTTTCTACCTTAGATTTATAAACATATGTTTAATTGACAAAAAATAGGCAATTTTTTTTTAAATGCTGTTGAGAATCACTTTTTAACTAAGACGCGATAGAGTCTAGAGCGAAAACCTTAATAAGTTAATAAGCCCGAGAGGTGTCTGTAAAAATGGAACGGGTGGATGTGGTTATGAGTACAAGTTTTTTTTCGATTAAAACATAGTTTGATTGCACATGCGACAACTTATAAGTTATGTATTTTCAGGCCCGGACTCACCAGCTCTTAGTTCACAACAAAGAGCTTTTAGAACACATTTCGGCCCTGGTGTCCCATTTGCAAGAAAGAGAGAAAGGATCTTCGCCTATTAGTGCACGACAACTTAATCTTATACCGCAGGTATTGAATTTTATATAAATATATTTAATATGGAGAGCTATAATAAATTATTGAGTAACTGAAATTTTATATTTTCATAAATAAACTCGTAACTATTACGTACGCGTATGTTGGCAACATTGTATATCAACTATTAAATAAATGTAACATCTGCAATTTACATTCTTATATTATATTCAAGATATTGAAATTAAACACTATTAACGATTTAAAACGCGAAATATATTACTTACCTTATTTCAATGTAACTCCTGTTGCCACGCTTGCTAAGAAGCTTCTGAAATTTCGGATTCTGAAATTAGTTAAAAAAAATTAACTAATTTATTTCATCTTTTAAACCGTTAATAGTGTTTTATTTATTTGTATGGTATACCACTCGCGCTGGAGTTTTAGCTCTTCATCTAATTCAGCATTGGCATGTAAGAAGTGTTGCATGTTTAACTTTTTTTCATGTCTATCTATTATTTTCTAAACTCATTTAATTTCGATACCATCTTGTTAGTTTCATTTTTATTCTGTTGACATAGCAAACATACCCAAGCTCAGCGTGCATCGCATATATACAATAATTTTAGGTGCACAACCGGAATTGAACTCCCAACTTACCTCTATAGCGAGTCCGCGACTACCAGCAACAACACTGATTACATTTTTAGAGCAAATGATTCATTTAATTTTTACATTTGTTCACACATACTATTCTAACGAAACAAATCATACCTATTTGTGTTTACTAAGTTTGTAACGAAATCCATTTTTGTGTTTGTTTACGTTTTTGTGTTAGCTTTTAATTTGTTTTTATTATATTTTCACTTTCAATGCATGATTTTAAAATGTTCTATTTAACATAGTATACTTATTGTAAGGTATTCAGTTAAATACTGTCTTAGTTTAAACATTTAAATAAAACACTTTAACGGTTTAAAACGCGATATATTAGCAGCAGCCGTGGTCACGTGGTCTCCCCGTGACCACCGCTGCTGCAAAACGTCCGATACGTCGGGCCGAAGTTAAAAATAATTTTCAAATAAGTTTAACTAATATATCGCGTGTTATACCGTTAAAGTGTTTTATTTAAAGGTATTCAGTTATTTTGTAAGTTAAAGTGTAACGTAGCGATAGCCAAACAACTGCCATAGAATCGCTGTAAGCAATATTATTATTACAGACTTTTTAACTTACAATATAAATATGAAAAATATGTATGACGTTTGAATATGATTAGCCATTTTTGTTTCTAGTGTAGGAAATTTTGTACTTATAGGTATACAAAACATAATAGATGGAATTTTAAAGAAAACGCTTTTAACTGCTTATAACGGAATATATATTTGTTAAATTATATTAAATTTCTTTAACTACATATAAAAAGTTCGAGATTTAAAGCATTAAAGGCGTTTAATCATAATGTGTATGAATCGCATAACGATTACACTTTATTAGCAACAGACGATACTTAAATAGATCAAGGCAGAAATCGATTTGCTATTCATATAAGATGAATTCAACTATCATTAAATATTCAGGCAAGGTCGTCCGGAAGCCTCGACACCTTTAAAGATGAAGGTTCTGTTTGCAACGGGGACTCCCCGAAAAGCGAAGATCTCATCTTCAGCTTGGCGCCGGGCAAATCTAACGGCAAAGACAACAGCAACATGCGTTTCTCCACGTATTGCCTGACCCCAACCTCCCCAGAGAAACGGAATGTGCCCAGCTCCGCCCCGAACTTCGGATCGATGTCCAACGAGCAAATACAAAATTATCTGATCGCCAAATTCCAAGATATGGCCTTCGGCGACGAGGATGCAAAGTCGAACAACAACCAACATTTCTATCAAAACTGTAACGCGTTCCCCAACATCCCCCCGCTTACCAATCACTATAGCAACTCGGATCTATCGAGCCTGTTAAACCACCAGGTGTATAATCAAAGCTCGAAATCATCAGATGAGCAAGGAGCTATGGCTCAAGCTATGAGCGTTGGACATTCACAGAACTCCCTCTACAGTACGAGTCAAGCGTCAACCTCCAAGGATTCTTCACCAGATGCTCTCAGTTCAGATGACGGGATGGCTTTTATTATGCCACTATCGCATAATGGGACGTTGACTGCGACGGGTGACGACGGTCGTGTTAGGTTGATCGTACCTGTTAGTCCATCAGAGAGTACTTCAGATATTGCTGAAGCATTGCCAGAGAAGGAGAAATTTGGGGCAACTTTGAAGGTACCAGGTGCTGAAGCCCCGGCTGCCCCGATAACTCGGACGACTAGCGAAAAGGTGCCTAATAGAAGCGAAATGATGACAGCATTGCGTTCCCAATGGACAAGGCACACTACTAAGTAAATGAATGCTATGTCGTTTTATTGAGTCAAGTTACCTTCTTAGTTCTTATTTTATGTCGTAAGTTTTATTAGTTTTTTAATTGACTTGAGCCAAAGCCGTGCCAAAGTATATCTTGTTCCAATTTTAAACATGAATGTGCCAAAGCTATAAATTTAAATGATAGATACATATCTTTGTGGCATATCGCAGTATTATATAAAATTCTTATTTTATTCAAGAATGGATTTAGTTGAATTATGAATATACCAAATATTTTTATAACGAGCGAAAACTTTTCGTGAATTGCTTTCAGGGATTTTTCGACCAAAAATAAAAACAGAGTTTGACAATTATATTACAAATATCAAAGGTTTTAACCGTTTCGGATACAGGTTGTAGTTTCAATTTACTTTTATAAAAATATTTAGAAATACTAAGAGAAAATGGGCTTTAATGTTGTTGAAAGATTATTTATTGTAGTGAGGCATAATTTATGTTAATGGTAGAAAATTAAATTATATTTCAAATACAATTTATTCTCATATAGGCGTGTAATTTAATAGATTTCTGTCTTCATTGAATCTTACAGTCACGCATTACAATACATTTAATGTCTGTTGCAGAATATTCTCATTATGAAATATAATCAATTTGACGTATTAAACAAACATGGGAAATGTGCATGTACTTATAAATATTTGTTTAATTAAATAATTACGCATTTAAATAAAATTCTGGTAAACAAATTAGAAGTTATTAATATGTTTAATACTTTAAATAAGAATTGCCACTACGTTAGCAGTTTACCTACTTTTAATATGTTGAGTATATTTCGCAATTTAAAAAATATAAAACTACTGAAGGTTCTCTTTAATAAGTACCTATCAAATCATGCACATTCCCATAATATAATTAAAAAAAATATAGATACATGATAGTTGGATTTTATTAAGTGTTAGAGAAAATTCATATATATGTGTAAACGTAGATAGAACCGTAGTTAGGCATTCGTTTAAATGATCCAAATTGTTATATATTTTATATATCTGTATAAATCTCTTACTATTTATAACCTATATAAAAACTGTTATAGTATTTTTTGCCTTATAAGAATTATTTGCCTGTTAGGCTGCGTAGTGTTGAAAATCGAAAATTGTAATTAGAATGAAGGAGACAGTCAGTCTTGGAGCAATTCGATTTTAAAATATTTCGATTCAGATTGATCAAAGAAAAAAAATATGTGTTTATCTTAATATTACATAGATGTTCGATGTTAAAATAGCAGTGTCTCGATGTGAAATACATTTAAATTCAGTAGTTCAGATTTTCTAGTAGCTAAATATTCATTGACGGGAGTAATTGTACGCCCAAGTAAGCTTATATTGACTGTAGCAAACTGTTGCAAGTCTCAGATTTCAAATAATAGTGTACCTACATAGCATATTCTAATAAATTAATTTGAAACAAATTCGAAATTTAAATCCGCTACTTTGTTTTTACGAGAACTTTTGAATTCACTTAACAATAAGACCATGTGCTATTTTGTGGTGTATTTCTGAGAGTTTTAAGATATATTTTATCTATAATTATAAAAACTAGAATTTTTAGTCGTACCTAATTTCGTTCTCGATAAGCTATAACATGATGTTTACGCTATATTAGATTGAATGTTATCAAATTAATGTAACAAGAGTAAATGCCGTACATTTGTCTGCGTTGCTAATTATCATGTAAAGGGAAACGTTTTCAACTATTAATCAATCTTTATAATTATATAATAGATATTGAAAAATTAGCTCAGAATCTGTGTATTCTTGGAATTGGTGTTATTTTAACGGTGTTATAATATGTAGTAGAGATAAATGCAAACACAAAAATGGATATTGATGAATTAAATAAAGATTATTCATAATGTCTACTCATTTACCTCGCCTTAACGATCTGTTTTTCGCGAAAGCGTTTAGTGAAGCACCGAGCTTAAAATACCCATTTACATAGCACTGGTTATAGAGAAAAATGACAATATTTTTTTATGATTTATGCTGTGGAATAAAACGTATTTTATGCATTTATTTCTGAGATATGAAGTTATAAATTTGAGGTATGTTTCCTTACATACTAAGCACTGCTTTGTTGCAAAGTAGCGTATTGAACAGTTGTGCATTGAGCTCAATTCGTGAAAGTTAAGTGTTGTTCTCTATCATGAGAATATCAAAAAAATATTAAATTTGTTAATATCTCAGAAAAAAATACACAACAATGATTTATTTCCTCAGTATAACTAAACTACTAGAAAATTATTTTTATTTTTCTCAAAGAGCAGTGCTGAATAATATGTAGAGCTGAGATTACAACGGAACACAAACCGACACGTCTAGTGGCCGAAACAAATGCAATACACCGATTGAGTCATGCGGAGCGGCAAAGCGACCCAAAGAAAGCTCAGTACGCGGCGAATGAAATTGGGCGAAAAGTCGCGCGAATGGCAATTCGCACTGTGCGAAGCGTTTTAAAACTGACCAATGCGGTATCATCTTTTCTAGCTACAGTAACAAACACTGCATTTGTCTGCAAACTCATAAAAATAAACTAGGTATCTATATTGAGAGATATAAATGTTTCTCTCTGATTTTCTTGAAGAGAATAGAAATGGTATCACGGCTTATCAACCTTATAATACTTAGAAATGAAGTCGAACTAAGTAGGTATAATTGGAACTGAAACCCAAGACAGTGACTTATTTACACAATTATTTGTTTTTCGTTCTACTTTTGTTTAGGAGATTTAACAGTTATGAAACTGACCCAGTTATTTAACTCACCCGCCTTGTAATTCAGTTATTATTTCCCTAGCCCGGTTATCACTTATATAGTGTAGTCATTGACGTTCGAACTAAAGAAGCGTGGTAAGTCCAAAATCTTAAAATTTCTCCTGTAAAGGAGAAAACTCGTGTTCACGTGTAAGATAATATATAAACACAATATAACTACGCCATAAGATAGCTTTTCGTCAGATGTTAGACAGCTAAAGATGAAGTACTATTTACAGATCTGTAGTTTAATTCTCCAAATTCGAATTTTTAAAAAAGGAATTCCTCTCGCTATTTTATAATGTAAGGTATGAATTGTCACGAACGTCACCAGTTAAAATGAACAAAAGAATTTTCTATTCGATAACTTTGTGACTGAGGCACATTTCAAAATCCGAAGGTGTCTAGAATTAATAGAATACGTGACTTGGTCGACGCGAATAATTCGATTTCGATCCGAGCTTACGCTGCAGTCTGTGGACATAGCCTATGTAAACTGCTGTGTCAAGCGAATGTTACAGCTGCGAGTAAACTCAGCTTAAACCAGCTTAACCTACGAGAGAACAAATAATAGCTCATGATATATTTGTCCTTTTCTATTGTCTCTTACGGCTAAAGAATTCGAGTTCCGATTTCAAATATGCGTGCATATGACATGTGAACGAACGAAAACTTCGTAAATGAGTTCCTAATAACGAAAAACTAAGATTTTAATAAAACACTTTAACGGTTCAATACGCGATATATTAGTTAAATTTATTTGAAAATGATTTTTAACTATCGGCCCGACGTTTTAAACCGTAAACTTAGAGTTTTTAAAACAGATGATTTGCTAATATAAACATGCCAACAAACGTAATAGATCAATATCACGGAAAACTAATGACATTGATTAATAATGATCGTCAATTGGAATGAGTGTCAATATGGAATACCTACTGATGGCATCTCCGATTAGTCCCTTGAGTCAACTTCAAAATCTTTTTTTTATATCATTATAGGAGTTGAAATGATGATAATCATAGATAATTAGTCGCGTGACCTCACCGATACATATAAAACATAACTTTACGTTGTACAAAAGTATAGCAGTATTTGTGTTATTAGTATTGAAAGTATGTTTAGTAAAAGAAATTAACAGAATCAATAACCTATCAATTTTTTTGAGAAACTCATTAGTTTTTAAATTTACTACAACCAAACATTGAAATGAAATTGTATTTGCCTACCATCAGTAGCCTGGGCACCAACAAACTTTCAATTAAAACACACAGTTGAAAAATCGAACAGTATTACGACTACCAATATATGATTAAAATAAAGTTAATAATTAAAATTTGTATTTGCTTATCTGAGGTATCTACAGTAATATTATAAAGTGTGTGTTTATTTGTAGGCGCTTACCTCAGTCAGTGCTGATTCGAATTTATATATTAATTGTGGCTTTATCGAGGAAGGTGAGGAACGTGATGTTTTATAGCCTATAGGCTGCGACCCACTTCGTCATAGCTTGCATTATACAAGCGATAAGCGCAAGCATAAGTAGTATTAGTAGTTTTAAATCCAGGAGTTATTAAAATCGTTGCGGACGAGTTCCGCACAGTACCTCTACATATTACTAAGACTGATCTGCCAAATAGACACAGTAATACGAGCTCTATGCCCCACATGGGCTATGGGACTAACTAATTAAATTTAAAAATGGCAATATAAATAAAAACACATCGTGGTATGTTTGTGTTAGTTTTGAGCTTCTCTTGTTTCTGTCCAAATCTACAAATCTTCAATTTAATCACTTAACTTCGGCGAAAAGGTTTTCCAACATTAACGTCTTGGGATCGAGATCATCGTTACCAAAATCCCGTTTACCGTGTCCGAAGGATGAGACATATGTCTGTGTCTGTTTCATTTATCAGTTGTTACGTTCAAGTAATTGATCGGAATAGCTAATCTAACCTATCTCGAATTTAACGCAATGTCATGTATTGAACTATTAAGCTACATCGTATAACGTTATTATATACATAGCATATGGTAACGGACAGATTGATACAACCCATACATAATCGTTTTCTACAAGGTAGAAGCGTAGAAACTCCACGTGAACTGCGAAATACAGTGAACGATTAAAGGTAAGCGTCGATACATACCGCTAAGATATCGTAATGTAATAGACTTAGACTTTGGTGTAATGGTAGCAATGTACGACTAATAAACGACAGGTCGTGGGTTCGATGCCTATCAGATCCAACATTTTTCTAATTAGTTTATAATTTTCTAACAATTGGACTTCGTCTGGAAATCTGGATACCATATGAATAATAAAAAAATCAAAACCCGGGGCCCCAGTTTAATCGCGTTTCGGTTTCAGTCTGTGGGCTTCCCCCAACCCCCCCCAAAAAAAACGGTCCCCCCCCTTTTTTTTTTCTTTTCTGCGGGGGGTTTTTTCCCCCCCCCCCAAAAATTCTCTTTTCTCCTCCCTTTTTTTTTTTTTAAAAAAATTTTTTTTTTTTTTTTTTTTTTTTTTTTTTTTTTTTTTTTTTTTTTTTTTTTTTTTTTTTTTTTTTTTTTCCCCCCCCCCCTTTCTTTTTTTTTTTTTTTTTTTTTTTTTTTTTTTTTTTTTTTTTTTGTTTTTTCCCCCCCCCCCCCAAAAAATAATTTTTTAAAAAAAATTTTTTTTTTCTTTTTTTCTTTTTTTCCCTTCCTTTTTTTTAAAAAAAAAAAAAAAAATTTTTTTTTTTTTTTTTTTTTTTTTTTTTTTTTTTTTTTTTTTTTTTTTTTTTTTTTGAACCAGTAGTTCCTGAGATTATCGCGTATAAACATAGAAACAAACAAACAAACTCTTCAGCTTTATATATTAGTATAGATATAATATCCGTACCAGTTCTGCCTGCACTATCGTATTCCTTTTTCTCAAACTGAAGCTACTACTAGTAAATATTATTCATCGTAGAATATCCCGTACATATTGATTTCGTCATACAATGTTATTGAATTATATCAGAAGTAGGAACATATATTTTCCATCCTCTTCTTGAATTCCTTATAGGAAGCTGGTTCCTTCCTGTTCTTTGTAGACAAATTTGTTCGTTTTCTATCAATGGAATCATATTTTCTTCGGATACCATGCAGTATATAATATTTGAAAGTTTCACATGCGCACATGGTGGCACAGTATTTTTTCAAACCAAATAAATTTTAATTCATACAGAGTACGATATTAATAACAGTTATTTTATTCTAATATTTGAAATGCTAAAGTACATAAATACCGGTGATCCATAAATTTTTGGCATTACAACGAAATGCATAATATCTTAAAAAAACATTCAGCAAATATAATGCTGAAAACAAACTATATAATAGAACAGCGGGATCAATTATCTATTATATTATTGGTATTGGCAGGAAAGGAAGAAAGGTGAAAAAAAAACTATTATTCTCTATAAAATAATAAAAATCACTTAGATTCGTAAAAAAATATATATTTGTCTCTCTGTTCCTCGTGATTCTACAGAGTGTTCAAAAGAGCAACATAACCGAGAAGAACACCCAAGAAACTCAGCCTGGTTTTTCAATATGTCTTATGAACATTTTTGTTATTATAAGGAGCAATTCATATCTATGCCTGGCAGCCCTGTCATTAAAGAATACCTTTATTCAATTATACGCTTTTTAAGACTTATTTATTGATAAATGTGAAACCTGAACTGGCAATGTATTATACTTACTAATACAATTCTCCGCAAATAAATTAGTATAGCCTATATTTGGGGATAGCTAGCTTATCCTTATTTCTTCAGTTAAAATGATGCCTGGTGTAAAATGAGGGTCGTACCTATGTATTTATTAATATAGTATTTAGAGAAATAGAACAAGAAATTAAAGCTTATCACTTAGGGGTCTGAATAATAGAGAGATCAAAGGAAATAATAGAAATATATTATACAATTAAGACCAATTTTTAAACTCCGAATTAGAACCAGTCTCCTGATTTAGTTTAAATATATGGAGAGGTAAGCCTTTAAGTATACTCAGAGCGCGTACGTATCGACGCTTACCTTTAGAATGCGGTTAATTCGATTCGACGTTTCGTTCGATGTGAATTAAGTTCAACGGCTGCTTTTAGAGCCCTTTGTTCTATAATAATCTAAAGCGCCACACGTCATTCACTTTGTATAAAAGACTAGCTGTGTCAGCGACTTCGTCCGCGTAGAATGTAAGTTATTTTTGCAAACCTCCTCTTCATCTTTTTAAGCTGTTACCCGACGCGACGTCGGCCGCGTCCCTTTCCGTCATTCATGCAAGTTAATCTTAAAAGATACAGATAGCGTCGCGGACATTTCTTTAGATCATTTAAAGAGGAATCATTCTTTCATTTCATTTCATCCATATTTTTTTGGATGACTTGAACCGTTTTCGCAGCGTACCCATCTGAAACCCACAGAGATGAAAAATTCCCCCGTTTCGTTCACATTTCCCGCTGTATCCTCGCTTCTATTAGTCACAGCGCAATTTTATAGCCTATATCCTCGATAAATGCTCTAACTAACACAAAAATAATTTTTCAATTCGAACCCGTAGGTCCTGCGATTAGTGCGTTCAAACAAACAAACAAACAAACTCTTTAGCTTTATATAAATATATTAGTATAGATAGTATAGATTAACGAGTGGGCTGATATATTCACTGCATACAAAATATAATATAACACAGATGAGACTCAAACTCCAATCAAGAAGTATTGTGCTATTAATTAAAGTCGTTACAGCATTTAATTTCAGGTAATAAAATACTTGAATTCTAATTAAATTACTCTTATTTTTTATAAATTATATTTGTAATACCTGATTATATCATTCCAGTTGTCTTCAAGTGCAAAGATAGACAGATGGTTTTCTCTCCTGCCCACGGCGGCGACACTGTCGCGACCTGAAAGCGGCTTCGTCTCTGGTGTAGAAGACACAGACACCGCCCTAGCTGAAGCAAGGAGTCTTCTCCTCCAAATGGGTGTTAAGAAGAAAAGAAGACTTCTACCTCGGTTTACGCGACGCAAGATACTAGCAAATAAACATACAGTGCTTTAGATAAATACTAAGTAGGAACTCACATAGAACATGTAATAAGAGCCGGTGGGTGTCATCACGGTGGGGCACCAAGGTGTCCCTGATTGGTTGAAAAGGTGCTGATAGACTGAGTATTGAACACAATTAAGAATATAACAAAGAAGAAGTTAATGTTAATTGTTAACTTTATGAAAACTGAAGTAACAGTTCTTTTTTATGAAGGAAGAGGGCACACAACCTTAGTATCTTGCCATAACCTTTAATTATGATGAGCTAATTTGGCTTTATGGCAAGATCTATCCTAACGGGCTTCATTCGTTTTTATGTTTGTCCGCATGCTCGCTCTGTTACGTGTGACAGCTCAACTCTATCAGTACCTTTATGTGTATACATCACTAAGCCATACATAACTAAATACACTTGATCTAATTAGTAATGTTTGAGTTATATCCTTTTTATTAACACTTATAAAGGCGGCGAAAACAATTACAGTTACCTTAACGAAAATAAAAATCCACCTTTACTGTGTTGGTCAGAATACGTTCGAAATTTAAATTGATATAAACTCGTAGGGTCGAGCGTATATTTCGAAACGAACTGTATAAATTGATATTTATTTGCGTATTGGGACATGTCAAGTAGTTCTGAATTTAAATTCCAACACAAATCGCTCTCGAAATAAGAAAACGTACGACGTATCAATCCAGGTCCTTTCAAGTAATACTTGCCCCAAGGGGCAATTCCCTAGAAACGATGTTTCGACTTTTTAAGAACAAAAGTATGTGCTTCAGATTTCTTAATAGTAGATATAAATATTTGCGAGCAAAAAACTATTTATAGTATGTTTTTTCTTACTTGGTATTTTTGGTAAACAAGCACACAATTTATTTGATGTCGTATAAGAAACACTTTGAGACACTGGATTATATATTACACTAATGAACTATCTTAAATTCACTTAGTAAAAACCACAATTTCATGTTAAATTAATAAAAATCGTAAAAATGAATTTACGCAAATATTCACATTAATATTTCTTTAGTTCGACATTTACGTAAAGATGGGATGAAAGCAAAGCCAAAGACAATAGAAGTCGTCGTAAAAGTGATTTTAAATATTGATTTGGTCCATATGTAAAGGATATTTATTTAACCCCGTGTCATTTGTGGCAACGACTACACTCTATAAATGGACATCACTAGTTTTGTATAGTTTGAAATCGGCCATATTTGTTGTGGCCTTTTGCCAAGTTAGAAAAAATACACTATGTGATTTTGTTTAACTCATTATCATAAGCTCGTCGCTAAGCTTATAACAAATACAGTATTGAAAAGTTTGATAATAGGTTATGAGACTAGTTGTATCTAGATATAAACAGAGCTTTACGTAAGTTTTTTCTAAGCTATTAATTAAATGAGAATAGGTTTAAATAAGACATTATTGAGTCATTACTTTTCAGTGTTAATGAACCATTCATATCTCTTTTGTTTAACATATACTTAGTAGACACGGAGTGTAACGTCGGGTTGTTTTAGTTAAGAAACAAATCATTCGTTCAGATTGAGAACATATATAGCCTTATTTTACATGTAAACATATCTCTTCCATGTATTTTTTGCACGTTGCGATTATAACTTATAACTTACATATTATATCTACGTCATATTATGCAATTTAGTTGAAATATTTAAAGTCATATAAATTGTTTCACGAAACCTCCATATTGTGATTTTCGACCTAGTTCGAACACAGAATCCCTTTCGACGCTGATAATGACTTGCATTGGTCCTTAACGCTCCAAGTGATAGATTCGACGTGTGTGTTTGAATTCAACGTTTGATCCAGCCAGCTACGTAATCAACTAAGAGTAAACTTACGTACCTATCCTGTGATAACATTGTCATATATCACAAATGCTTTGAAATTGTGCACGAGGCATTATAGTCTAAGAGCTTGTAGTGACGAAAGTAAATATATAGAACAAAAATTAAACTTATGTAACATACTTACTAAAATTATAGTCACAAAATGGAAGAAGAAGAGAAAGGGCAAATACTTTTACATTAAATTACACAGATTTGATAACCAAGTGGTATTTAATAATTATTATTGATTGAGAGGCACAATAAATAATCTGTGTGTTATTTATGTTAACATTACTTCTTTTGATTAGGCTTTCGAACTATGTTACTAATATTTAAAGAAATTGAAATGGGTCCTTTCTCTTTTAAGGATGAAAATTCTTAAAAAAAAACACTAAATATTGTCTAAGTTTTGTGTTTCTGATCCCGCTCTGGTGAACCTATTTCTTAGAACCCAAAATATATCATTGTCTTTTGTCGTTGTTAAATTGTCTTAGAACCAAATATACCATCATAGATTTGGCGGTTAGATAAGCTTGAGAAGACTATATAGTTGAATTAACTGTGAAAAACCTGATGACAAATTAGAAATATCTATTGAATTCAAGCCACAAACTCTAAGACTTATTGTAAAAATCCCGCTCTATAACCCGCCAGTCAGTGTCAGTTACTATATCGGCTTTGTCGGTGTATGCAGGCAACCGTTAAAGCTTCAATTGCGAGTACAATTTTACTGTCACTCTGGAAGATTAAACCTGGGTTTTACTTGTTTTACTTAATACAGCTCGTGAGCTAAATTGACATTGACAATTGACATTGAAAACTCAATTACTATTGTTATAGTACATAGATTTTTAAAATGTTAATTGTCATTTAACTTTTGTCAGGATCATGATAATTTATCTGTAACCGACAAATATATTTGTCTGCCATCTTGGATTAAGAAATGAAATATAACGTTAACGTAACTGGCTGGAAACAGGTGATGTTTTTAAAAGTAACTTGGGCTTACTTTTATAAAAATAATTTACCGAACCGAGATTATTTAATTACAGTCGTTAGCAACACTTAAACATTCACTAGCAGGCTTCGTATATAATCTTAATTACCTGCTGAAAACATAGACCATTTTATTTTTTTACAATATAAGAATAATATTGATCTCTGCGATTTAACTATAGATATAATATAGTCTATAATTCTGGTTTAAGAAAAAACATGTGTTTAATAAAATATTTGTATCGGTTTAAATCCCCAACTATATTAGTAAATTAATTCAAATTAGTTTGTTAAAAACAACAGATGTTATGTACGATGTATGTATTTTGCTAATACGGGATACCGTAGACGGATCAAATACAAACAAACTTAGCTAATTAAGTTATAATATCACAACTATTAGTAACTATCTAGTATTATAAACTTTATTAAGGATTTAATTACTTTATATAATTAGAACTAATAACTTTAGTATACTTCGAACAAAAGTATTAATTTCCACACAGTATACAACGTTGCAAATTGTGCGGTAGTAGGAAACTTTGTATTAGTACTATTTATCTTTTTATTGTCTTTGGGAAGTGAGTTTTGAATCGTATTTCATAAACGAAAGAAAACTCGAATTCGAAATGTCAAATTCGTCCCTAACATACACTAAACTTGAAAAATTTCAAGTTTAGGTATCTAAATTATGGTACTTCTTATATGCATTATAGGTTAATATGAGTAGGTAGTATACGAATGTTCGAGATCGTGTAGTTTATACACAGGAACCGTGCCATAGCTAACATATAATCTAACTCAAAACTTTGATATTTCCCATTTATTATTACTTGGTATTCGTAAATACGAAATATTTTCAACGTCTCATTGTCACTAGAACATTTGCAACTATCCTTACTATGAATGAAATTTGGTACCCAGATGGTCTACCCTAGAAGATAGTCTTATTGGGAAAAGGGGGTTAAAAAGGGAGTGAAAGCTTGTATGGAAAATCGAGGTTTTTGAAGGTAGAACAATGAAACTTTCTTCTATGGCTTTTTTGAGATAGATTTGGGAATGGGAGTGGGAGTGGGAGTGAGAGTGGAAGTTAGAGTAGGAGTGATGTGAGGTAAGAGTGTTGCGGTAAAGTAGCACTTACAATATAGATTGGCTGCGATAAATGCGCAATTACATAAATTAATAAACACCCTAAACAATTAAAAATTTTACCCCAAGTCACTATTCCGCGCGAACGAAGTCGCGGGCACAGCTATTATTAAATAAAAAACAAGCGTTTAATTGTAATATCTCTATCTGTGCCTACCTTAATATTATCCACAATTTACAAAATAATATTAATAATTAATGTTTGCGCAATATTCAATTAGCGTCGACTGCTGAATCGGAAGGTTACGAGAAATATTTTCTAAAATAAATGTTGAAATTGATAATTAATAATTTCCCGGGCTCGCGACCGAAACAAAGGCTAAGAAACGGGGCGTCCGGGCGAGCAATTCCGAAACAAGTCACATAATATTGTATTCGACTTTTATAGATATTGGACATAATTAGCTTACGTATTAATTATTATATCATATTTCGATTTTAGATTTAAAAAAGTGAATGCCAGTTCAGACGATGCCCGTGTTGTAATTTTTTTTCAATCTAAAATCGATTTTTATTTTTCCAAGACCCTCAGTTTCTAACTAAACAAGGAATGATAAACTGGTTTATTTTTCCGTAATTTATTTTCAATGTTAGCTTTTTGAGAATTGGCGCCATGTTTAAATCCTAGGATATTTATGTAGACATGCCGTATGTCATTGCGATGTACATTGTTTACAAAGTATTTGTCATCTCGTTCATTAAAATTTTATACAATTTCAAAATGTAAACCGATAAAACCATTAACACTTATTTTTCCCCGTCGTCGATTAAAATTACAAAATGGCCCTTAGATTATTTATTTATTTATTTATTTACACTTTATTGCACAAAAAAAAAATTAACAAAAATATAAACTTATATACTAAACATATGGAGTGCAATGGGCGGCCTTATCGCTAACGAGCGATCTCTTCCAGGCAACCCAAGATGAAAGAGAAAAAAGTTTACGGGAAAACGAGATGTGCAAGGTGGGCGAAACAAAATGTACAATGTTAAATATAATCTTAAACTTATCAAAATAAAACTTACATACAATTTTATTCTCACGCAATAACAATTACACATTATATTATGTAATTTTTAACCCTTACATTCCGTTTAATGCATTTCTCTTAGATTTAAGTTTATTATAGTCTTTGTTAGTGCTGAAATGACTGATAAAATTAATTAAACTTTGATGTAATCTTAAATTTATTAGTGAAAATAAAGATAAGGCTTAACTAGTATGAATTTTTATCTTATTTACCTTTTATCATGGTATCTATGTATGTATTGATATTTATAGATAAGCTATAGCGGCCATTCCTGTACAAGATTTAATTGTATATCTATAACAACACCAAGACCGTCCCAGTGCCCCAATAACTGAACTCAAAGGTTAGCGGTCCTGGCTTCGAGGCCTGGGGAAAACTAGCTTAGTCCTGCAAAGCACATAGTCTTATTAACCAGTTGGAAATATCATCGATCAGTAAAACAGACACAAATAAATGTATCCATTTTGTTGTACATAGGAAAAACTAAAGTTCATTTTTTTTTTTATTATAATCTACTTTCAGAGCTCTGGCATTTTAGAGAGGCTGAAATTTGAAGTTTACGCTAAGTTGACAAATGTTATGCGTTAAGAGTGATTTCTTTATTAAGTAATATTTTGTTTATGTGGCAAAATCGATAAACTAACTATGTATCACGTAAGTCAACAATTTAAAAATGTCCTTCACACAACAATCTGCTACAATATTCGCTTGTTTCCGTGTTATTTCGAGAGCATTTAATTAGAGGCTATTCCAATAACACACGTCTTTAGTGACATTGAGTCTCGCTACAATTTAGTTGAATACATTTGAGACTTCGTATGTCCTCGCATTCTATACTACTTCTTACACCGAACCTCGAGTACTAAATGATTCCTAGCAATGAGTGTCAATAAGTACTGATCGAAATTTATTTACAATAATTTTTATGCATAAATAGTTTGTCAAAATTTGATGGTACTTGCTAATGTGTGAGTGTGAAAGCCCGTTCCCCCCTCGTGGGATATGGGGCGGACACATTTCTGTGCCCGTTTCATTGATCCGGTCTTTTAACGGGCAAGTAGTTGATCAGACTTCACCTCAGATGACCTAAGATAACCTCCACATGAGAAACAGACTCACTTATGTGTCTGTTTTACTGATAGGAACTTCACTGATCACAGTTGTGTAAACAGGCCGTAAGTGTTGTCTGTAGTTTGCGAGAGTGGTACACATTAAATAAACAAGTTTAGCGGTTTAAAAGCGAAATATATTGCAAGTTATCACTTATTTTAAAGTGGTCTCTATTTGTCTGTCATAAGATTCATATTCAACATAGGTAAACTACAAACAATACTTTAATGCTTTAACTAAAATTGACATAAATTAAAACCAACATACCATACAATGTTAGTTGAACAATTAACAACAATTGGCGATAAATTAATTTAGCCTACAATAACGCTGATTGACTTAAATAATATTAACAAGGAACTGTAAATAGACACTAACTAATAGAGTTTGAAATAAGAATGTATTAAATACTGTCTACAGTTTACGCAAGTAGTACACATTTAAATAAAACACTTTAACGGTTTAAAACGCGATATATTAGCAGCAGCCGTGGTCACTTGGTTTCCCCTTGACCACCGCTGCTGCAAAGCATCCGAAACGTCGGGCCGAAGTTAAAAATCTTTTTCAAATAAGTTTAACTAATATATCGCGTTTTAAACCGTTAAAGTGTTACAAGAATGTATTACTTGACAGAGGCTCGAACCTGCTACTAACACTTTTGTGTAGAAGAATAATGTTACAAGCATTTTATCTGCTTTACGAAATATAATAGCTTAGCTTAGACGTGTCGCAGCGCGCTAAGCAAAAGAGGTCAGCAAGGTTTTCTTCTGTCTTAAGAACCCCCCCCCCTGCTGGTCCAAGACCCTAAATGACTACAACTAATTGAACATATTGATTTTATTTACAAATTATCGTGTTATATTATTTAAGTTAACAATTAATTTACCTACTTATTAAAAACTTGACCCCACCTAAACCTGGCGCTAAAACTGGACACGCCCTTGCCTGTATTATGACATATCTCGATTCTCAATGGCTTTGGTTGCAGCGAGATGCTATACAAAGTATATTAATAGCTTTCTCAGACCACCAAAGCTCACCGCGGAGTTAATATTAAAACATATACATACGACATGTCGATACTACTTGCCTAATAATAAAATCACTCAATGACACTGTGACTGAGATAAATATCTCATTAAAATAAAACACTTTAACGGTTTAAAACGCGATATATTAACTTAATTGAAAATGATTTTCTAACTTCGTCCCGACGTTTCGAATGCTTTGCAGCAGCCGTGGTCACGGGGAGTCGGGAGACTAAAGATGGATGATGTCTCTGACGTCAAAGTGAAAAATTGCTACGCTAGCGCCATCTGTTCCGTCGAAGTTGGTATTTGGCGAAACTGGCCGGGTCATTACAGAATTGACTAACAGTGTCTTCGCGTTTGCCGGTATGCTATAACTAGGTAGGTGAAACTATAGACAGTATTTAATATCTCATTATCCAAAGTCAAAATAGGTCGACGGCGCACCTTGTTTAGATGTTATACGGTTGTAATATTTCACCTACCCTCATACCGTCTATATTAAAAAATAGACTATATAGATCTAAAACAAATTTCGTGCTTTGGATTCGTTTTATCTAAGTTATTTGAATACTACAATTTTAAGTCTACTGTGAGCAGAACAGCTGCAAGGCATCCGACACATCCGGTCGTAGTGAAACAATATATTTCGCATTTTAAACCTTTAAAAAGTGTTCTATTAAAAATATAGTACACATTTAAATAAAACCTGTAACATTCGCGTAAGATACAGAGACTCTACAAGAACAGGTCGTTGACTCATGAGGCCGTTAGAGCTAGAGTGGCCTAATAACAAAAAACATGATTTTCTAAGGATATTCCTGTAAGGGGGAAAATAAAAATGCGCAATTAACTTAGGCGAAAATGAATTTGTACTATTATTTGTGTAAGAGTTATGTTAACAATTTTCGGTCACTGTGCTATTGTAGATTAACATTTTTAGACTATATAAGTATAAATAAGTCAAATCATGAAAATTGCAGTTAGGCTACTCTGATTCTAGCCGCCTCATATGTTGTATTGTGTTCTAAGTAACAAGTGTAATTGCCTAAAACGTATAAGAACCGGTTCTACCGTTGTCAATCGATACATTGCAAAAGAAATTCCAACTACATAACATCATCGTTTGACCCTTTCAATTTCAAACATATGGTCTTTTAGGTTCATTAAGAATGACGCAAGATTTAATACACCTATTCGGTGTTAAACCCTGAACACCCCTTAACAGTGTTATAGGTTTTATGTGCTTTGTAATAAGGAAAGTTTTCCTGCGCGGGGGCAACATATGTACGATATATCCAGTAGTTTTCATTGAATCTGGCAGCGGGCAGTCGCGTATTATGTGCACTGTGTGGTTTACCGTTTGAAATGTCAGGGTACTTAACCACATTAGGATAGAAAGCAACGTAAGTAAATCACGCTTTGTGAAAGTGGCTCAAATCCAGTATAATTTGACATGAGTTTTGTATTTGTGCACCTAATGCGTCGAGATCATTTTACGATTGCGAATTCTCGAAATAGGAATTATTATTTGTTCTAAGGATATCTGTAATGTTCAAATAGTTTAAATAAAAAGTATTGCGTTTTCAAAACCAAGCTTCATTTGAAATGATGTAAGCCGGACAATTTGTTGCATTTGATCGGTAAGAGTTATTGCTAACATAACTAAACGGGTTTTGTCGATATTTAGCACAACCAAGTACGTATTAACATGTTATAAACATTTTTACTACAAGTTGAGGATGTGAAAATTTTAAACGTGCAAAAATGTTGCGTGGCGATATTTCTATTACAAATAGTTAGTTATTATAAATGTGATGTTAGAGATGTATGTTGTTTTGCGAAAGCGATATTCCTGATTTCCGTGGGGCATAGGGCAAACACAATTATGTATCTGTCTATCGGATCGATGTTATTTACAAGTAAGTGATAAGCTTTGCTTGGTGAGCAGCCAAATTTATATTATATATAAATAAAAAATTATCACGTAGGATTAAAACCCAGGACACCTCAGGCTTAGGCAACGAGCTTAATCAATGACTTATATATGCGTTGGTGAAACGGAGTGCATTCTGAACTATAAAAAAACCTCCTTTTCATACGTTTAAGTCCCTTGTGTAATATGATATTAATATCTACATACTAACAGCTTTTTTACATTTCCTTGACCAAGTAAAGTCCGAAGCAAATGCTAGTAATAAAATATTATTAGCAATAAGTACTTGACTATGTTATTGCAACATAAAGGAAATATGACGATTACTTGCCCTTTTGAGATTGTAGTGACCTAGATGTACAATATACTTAGTACTTATATATATTCATAATATATGTATAAGAACAAAATATATAATTACGCATTTATCGCAGCCAATCTATGTTGTAAGAGCTACTTTGCCGCAACACTCTCACCTCACATCACTCCTACTCTAACTCCCACTCTCACTCTCGCTCCCACTCCCACTCCTATTCCCAAAAAGCCAAAGAAGAAAGTTTCATTGTTCTAGCTTCAAAAACCACGAATTTCCATACAAACTCCCCCCACCCCCACTTTTAACCCCTTACAATCCCCTTTTCGCAATAAAAAGTTCAGTAGTTTTGGCGTGAAAAAGTAACAGACAGACGGACATACAGAGTTACTTTCGCATTTATAATATTAGTAGGGATATAGCCTTCCTTGATAAAGTCTCTTCCTAAGATAAGCGCATTCAAACAACAAAATTTAGCTTTGTATATTAGTACCATATTATTAGTAGACGTATTTAGCACTGTCATAAGTTCCCTCGTCATGACAGCTGATATAAATCAAGCATTCACAACGTGGGTAATTAAAAATAAATAAATTAATAATCGTTTTAATCCGTTAAATGAGCAATATTTACTTTGTACCACTCGTGAAAACTGGATATGATATTATTGCAAAATTAGATAAATTAACTCTATTTTAATCTAAACGACCTGTCGTTTTGTTTCGTGAAAATTGTACATGAAATTCTTTTATACTTATGTTGACTTATTATTCCTCATTTTACTTAGACCTACACGGAATATGGTACTAGTGTATTACTGCTTTTATTATGAACATTTTATCTACGATTGTATGTGGTATTAAAAAAAATAATAGAAGAAAAAGTTGAGGAAACAGTGAGTTTTGGTTTCTGCTGATCTGTTGATCTTTTGTCACTGCTTCCCCGTTAACTTTTCTTAACTCTCTACAGAGTTTTCTTTAAAGAGAATTCTTTATTTTCTTTATCCATTAAAACACGAACACTTTGTTGACTACATACGTATACACTGTAAAATGTTTTATATGAAATAACCTGATGACAGACAACAATGAGATCACTCGTTGGACAATGAAGCATCCTAACCATATGAACTGATGCGCTATCAAACTATTTTGGTTTTGTACATCCAGAAATCCACAAATCGAAACGCGATTATACTTCTGACGGTAGTTCGACACTCGGACGGAATTTCGTGATACCCACTACACATTTGACTTAATTAAAATCGAAAATAAATGAAAATTTTTTTTTTTTTTTTTTTTTTTCTCCTTTTTTAAATTTTTTTTTTTTTTTTTTCTCTCCCCCCTGATTTTTAAATAGTCATCTATGATTTTACAGACGACATCTTGGAAATTGTAGAACATAATTATCAGACCGAGCGGGATTCAATTCGGTAATTATTAGCCATGAATTGGGAGCATTGCTCCAACAAGGTTGTCAAATATTTTTTTTTCTCATTTATAGATTACCTTAAGAAATAAAATGCGTTTTTTAAAGTTTAAACGTTTCTAGTTTGCTTTTGAATTATCGTAAGAAAACATCTGGTAGCCCGAATTGGAAGATGGTGGTATGTCCCGTGTACTGCCAAAAGCTGTCGGTTATCATTGCTCAAGTAATAGAGATAATCGTTACAGCCCATCGTATGGTTTCGAAGCAGTGGGTCCAAGTTCTTGAATCCTCTCTCTCCTGAGAGATCAATATACAAAATAAGTCGAAACTATATGAACACTAATTTAAAATAGATAGATTGTATAAGAACGTACCTTTAAATTACACATATATAAATACAACAAGCAAATAGCAATATTGAGCTCCGTTCGCGACTAATGAAAAATTCAGAAGCACAAATGAAACCTTACGCTGAATCCTTAAAAAATAGCGGGGTGAAAATTGATTGAAAATTCTTGACTAGAAGACGTACGCTAATTTATTCGCGTTAACAGGATTTTGAGTCCATTACACACGAAATAGCTTAGTTTTTTCAGCCAGTGCACTCCACATTCATTCTTGAGGTCCGGTGTTCAATTTCTATTCGTGTTTTAGGATTTATTTCCACTGTGTTTAGTGCATTCTGACATATCACATTGCTGTCAAAAAATATCACAAGATTGCATTAATTGAGGTCGGATGGTGATGACACAGTAGCAGCAAATATTTGCAGTGGTTTTTGATTAGTTTATATTTATCTATACTAATATAAAGCTGAAGAGTTATTACGCTTATCTCAGGAACTACAGGTGCGAATTGAAAATATACTTTTTTTGTTGGTTATAGCATTTATCGAGGAAGGCTATAAAACATCGCCCTGTGACCAATACACGCGTAGACACAGCGAGATGTGTTAAAAAAAATGGGAAAATTATTCAACATTGTGGGTTTCCTAGGAATACGCTGCAAAAACGGCTCAAGCTACCCAAAAAATATGTATGAAAGAATGATTCCTCATTAAATGATCTAAAAAGAAGTCCGCGATCTATCTCTTAAGTTTAATTTTTAAGAACGACGGGATGGACTTTACCGACGTCGAAGGTGACAGCTTAAGTTTATGAAGATGACGGGGTTTGCAAAAACGAATTTGGATGCCCAAAATTACGATTCTCGCTGACAGAGCTGCATGTTATATAATATATGTTATATAAGAGGTGAATCTAATAGAAAAAATCTACGCATAAATATTCATGTATTTTATACGGAACCATCAACTAAGAAATCAATTCATAGTTAGCAACTAATAACAAGTAAGGTGTACCGTATCATTAACAAGACCGAGACATAAGTAATACCTAGAGACTATCACATTACACGGATGTATTAGTAGTAGGTATAAATTAACCTGAACGAGAATAATATGAACTAGGTTTTCCCTTTTGGTTTCATCATTATTCTTTATTTTGTTACTTTTATTAAGTATCTTTGGAAATTAATGTGGAAAAAGTCTTTCTCCATGATATAGGTTTATTAGGATGATGTCTTGGACGTCTTTTTACTTTACCAACAAATCCACTTTACATTTGCGAATATGTTTGTTTATGTTTAATTAAATAGCACAAATTTCTCTTATAAATATTAAAGTATTCATTAAATAACAATTTCTTCTACTCTACATCTTTTACAGTTCTGAAAATGACATCAAACAACCAGAAACTTCCGGGCAAATTAAGCAAGAGCGGAGCTGGTAGTTTACCAGCAAAAAGTGTCGTTAAGAATATTAGCAACTCATCGGCCTATACAAAGTCAACAGCAAAGGGAAGTACAGCAAAACTGCCAACAATTACCCCATCTACGTCAAATAAGACTTCATTTAACCCCGGAAAAAGTTCAACCACCTATAGTTCAGGCAAAAGTAAATCAACATTTGGCGTTATATGGTTGCCGATAAAAAAACGCAACAAACACAAGGATTATGTTTACAACGCGTACAAAACGAAAGAGAAGGATAAGGAAAGAGCGCCATCTATGTACAATTTGTAAGAACGAATATTTATTTTAATAAATTACTTTAACTCTCTTAATTGATAGGTTAATGGGTGCAGAATATTTTTATTTTATATATAAAAAGCCTATGACCATGATATGTTTAGATTTTTTTATTTTAATTATTTAATACGTTAACTGCCTTCTTTAATCATATCAATGTTCATAAAGGAGAAGCCTTACATTGAAATAATGTTGACAAAAGCCGACAGATGGCAGGCAATACAATATTTATTATCTGATAAATTTAATGTTTATTTTATAATTTGTTTATATATATATATATATATTATTATTTAACTTTTCATTTACTTACGAACTCATTAGAGCAAAATCACAAATCTTATAAAATCTCAAAAGTATGTTAATTGTAAGACCATTTAAGTAATACCAATAGTGCCATAGACTAAACAGCTTTGTTATTAATGTCGAAATGCTAGATTTGAAAACCCTTCATAGTTCATATGTGTAAAACCTGTTTACTTGCTGAATAATATATAAAAATGAACTATAAAATAAACGACATATCTTAAATATTTATTTAAATAATATAAATTTCGTCAGCCTTTTCCAGTACCGATAGTAGGGCAATAAAAAAGTATGTGTAACTAAGTACAAACTATAATATTTTGGTTATCCATGTCATATGAGTGTTAATAATAGTTTTTCTATGAAAAATGTATAATTTATAACGTATTTGACATACTTATTGTTCTGCGATATTAAAGTCTACGTTGCGTTTTTGTAAATGTGTGTAGTTAGCAAAACTTTTTGGTTCAATAACAAAAAAAATGCTGAGCAACAACTTTGAACACATCAGAAGCACTTGGCGACTATTGTCCGGTGAAACCGTACAATTTAAAAAGCTGCCGAGGTGAATATTGTATATTTTGCAAGGCATAGGATTGCTATGTTTACATTTACAGTGAATACGCAGTTTGACGCGATTGCGTTATATTTCAATTTACATAATAGGTGACAGTGTCATATTCTTTAGACGCCGTCTTTATACGATCTCTATCATTTCAGTATGTCAGGCGATTCAAGCCATCAGCATATGCCCAAGAAGATAGAAGAGGAATCAGGTTCAGACAATAAAACTTCTGCTTTACTCGGTAGTGCAACCACAGGAACTGCATTACATTCCATATCAGATGACAACTTAAATAAAAATGAGAAACATGGGGATCCAGAAATCACACCCATTAAAGAGGAAGTTAAAGTAAGTACTAATAATCACTGTTTGTTGTAATTTTATTTATGAAAAACCCTTGTACAATAAATTGTTATGTAGATTATGGAAACAAATTTTCTATTTTTATTGGAGAGATATCATGGTTAGATACTTGGATAAAAGTCATTCGTTATATTAGTTAGTTCTAATAAAATCCTATCTACAAAATTTGCCATTACAAGCCAGTATTTTTATACTAAATTTTCAGGACACATCATTTGATACAGAAAAAGAGAAACATGATAGTGATTATCTTGACAACGAAGTCATCATTAAACCTCCCAGTGCTTTCGATGAGAAATCTTTGAAGGATAAAGTAGATGACAATGTAGATAGTGTATTTTTGAGGCCACCGCCAGCTCATAAAGTCCGTCCTAGATCCCCAGCTCAGGAAGAGGAAACCTGTGGTATGAAATGTCTGTATTATACATTAGCCTGTTGTGATTGTGTGCTTATGTAACTGCCATAGATTATAAATTAAATAAGGCTTTAGTGGCCATCTTGCAAAGCTACTTGGGTTATTGAGATATTATGTTGTAATTATGCTTGGCATCACCTGTGGTTAGTATTAAAACATGTTTAGTGTTCCTAAGCAGATTTAATCGCAAACAAACATCGCAAAAGCTCAAATAGCTTTGCCATCGAATAATAAATTATAGGGTATAAGGGACCATATTAGATGTAAAATAAGGTGCTTTTTGGCCTTGATACATATAAAGATTTTTTCCAACATTTACATAGACTGTCTTATTATATAAGTTGCTCAGTATTTCAACAAACTCTTTTCTCAAAATGCTCCAATTCTACTATTACTCAATTCCAATTCTACTACTATTTAAGTGTTTTTATATTTACTAGTTTGATAAATTTTGTATTTCTAATATCAAGACATTTTTGATACGATTTTAGAAAACCTTTTGGTATGACGATAAATATAATTTTGTGAATTTTTTGCTAATACATTTACAAATGTTAAATTTGCAGTTAGAGCTTTATAAAAAGATATATCCATATTTTTATAGGTATACAAAGATCATTGTAAACCAGATATATAAAAATTGACAATAAAAATACTGCCTTGGCGTTTATTCAGAAATCAAAGTAAAAAAGACAATCATGTTTTTATAAAACTGTATTTTGTAATTCATATTAAAGATTATTTTTGACTGTCGTAATAAATTTGCTGCAAATTGATTATGACATCAATCAAATTATCTCTAAGATGTTTCTGCATTTTTACTAATGTGCTGTATACACACAATTGAAATGTGCCAACATGTATGTTCCTAGTATATGCTTGAATAGTATTAGATTATAATTTTGGACTTTATTGTAACTGATCTACGATAAAATAAATACATGTATTTGCTACCTCAGACAATTTGTGATCTTATGCTTTAGTCGAGTAATTTTATTTTGAGTCATCAGAAATATTTAACATTCCAATGTGCAATCATCTATTATATTATATGGCTTAAGAGTTGGATACTTACTACTTGTGATATCACACACAGACAACACATTGTTTTATGGCTGAATAAATACATAAATGCAGGCTGTTAAACATGTTGCAAAACAAAGCAAGCAAGCCAGTACCCAGGTTTGACTTAATATCCTGTGTCAACTAGCTGGGGCAAAGGACGTTTACAGTGGTCCTCCATAGCGATCGGTCCTGAGCTTCGCGTATCTCGCATCACGTCTTTTTTACTTTCTTCGCCTCATCCTTAACGACGCCGCCAGGATTATTTGGGGCGACCACGTCTGCGCTTTCCTTGAGGATTCCAATCTAGCGCCTCTTTGGGAATATCATCTGAATCTCTACGGTGTGTGTGATTTTACAGCGCCGTAGAAAGCGCTCGGTTGATATTTTCTCAGGCAGAGAATTCGGTAGAGGCTGATTAAGAGCAAAACAATTGAAGCCTTGCAAATTTTCCAGTTATAAACCATTTTTAAATTAAAAAAAAATAATAATTTTGTCTCCATCTAATTTGGATGAATGATTGTCAAACTTTGTAGTTACTATTCACGGTATAATAGTCTGACATATATTTTTGTACTACATTGTAAAATAAAAGATTAAAGAAAACAACTCCGTTTCACTTTTAACCTCTCGTATACTCTAACGTACCTTAGTAAAGATAGAATGAAATCAGCGGAGCAGAATCTAACAGGGTTGCAAAAATAAGGAAATAAAATAAAGTTAAAACAACCAAAACATATATTTGACTAAAAGTAGAAAAATTTTAATATTAATTTTACACATATTGCACTTAACAGATATACTTAAGGCAGGAAGCACAAAAGAACAACTCAAAAAACGAACAAAGAAAGTTTTTATAGTCATAATATTCTCTGGTTTTTGGTCTAAGAAAGAATTTTAATATTATTATGCCAGACAATATAATTAAAACAAATAGCAGACACATAGACATTTATTGATTTTTATTTGCATTTAAATCATAGGTTTTTCACATTATAACGTAATAAGTACCACAATAGAAATTACAGTATGCAACAGGTTATTATGTTATATCCTTGTCCATTGTGAACATAACATTAAAATAACAAACCCTTGGTAACTTAATAAATAATCAATAAAAATATATAGTTATATATATACACAATTGACTAAAAAAAATTAACTATCATTATTATACAGAATCATAAAAATATATCTAAAAATGCTGCTTTCGGAACATGTCCCTGCAATTTCCTATCGCTTGCCATTTTACAAAATTCATTTCCAATCTTATGTCTAAATAAATTAAAAAAAAGAAAACATCTTACTAAAAAACTTTAAAACGTGGTATAGATTTAGAAAATATTTTTGTTTTCCTCACTGTAAGTCTGATATTATCAAAATATATTGGTTCTCATTTTTGTAATGAGGCTGTAGTAAATTTCGAATGATTACAGTTGACAAGTGATATATAACATGACGAAGACGTAAGTTTATTATTATGACTATCCTAAATATATCTACTGTGTATAATACGAAGTAGATGTATGTAGATGATGTACAGTTCCAGCCAAGCCAGAGGACCAACCGCAAAGACACACTTTACAACAGAAACATGTCTAAATATCGCTTACGAAGTCAATAATGGAATATTTCTTAGTATACTAAGAATCTAAGATCTTATAAGATAAAAAAAATTATTGTGTAGATTAGGAACTAGAATACTATTTGCAGTCAAAAATTGTTGAGACGAATAAAAAATATAAAGATTAATTGCAAAAGAGTATTTTTTTTACTTACTAATTAGTCTGTGTTTTACTGGTTTTAATTGTCACTTCTCTGCCCAATAAGCCTTTTAAAAACTCAGTCCTTCCTCTGTCTTTGTCTAGATACTGTACTTACTAAACACAAATGCGAATTAAGCGTTTATATATATTATCTGAATATAAAGATATAAAAATCTATAAGAACTCAAGTACGCAACACAATTGTAGGCAGTCTAACAGGATTCGTAAATGCATGTTGAAATCTCAACCTTATTACAAAGGCCGCAAGATTTATTTTTAAACATTAATTGGAAAGTTCCCTCTAAACACTGAATTTGAATCTTTTCTATGCCTAAGTCCTTTAGCCAGTATTATCTTAATTGAGCAATCATTAACAGTAATTATATTAAGTATGCAATCGGAAAAGGGGAATCCCCCATTGAAGATGCACTCCAATATTTGATTAACCTGGAGGCGACGCAAGTATGTAAGTGTGTTTGTTTCATCATATCACCCAAACGGTTAGAACTTTTGTATGATCTCACAAATTGTACTTGTACAAAAATCCTTTCGTTTATACGATACTTATCTTCCCTTCTACTTCCTACTAGACAAATTACTTCTAGAAGTTACGCGTCTCTTCGCGTTATGCCGGCCAAGAAACTGTAATAACAATAACAGACCAGGGAATTCACATGATCTAAGCTCTTAACAATGGAGGGCTTCAAGTATTGAGATTGGGTCCTATTTATAAAACCTTATCCATAGATAGAATGGAAAGTGTACGCTAAACTATTCACTAAGTACATTAGTTTAAGAGTTTTTATGTAACATTTAAATAAAATACATGACATTATAACTGGTATTTGCATAAACAGATGGCGCTAGCATAGCACATTTGACTTTGACGTTAAGGACCGGCTGCTGAAAGGCGTTCGAAACGTCCGTTACCGATTATTTGCGCGTTTTAATCGGTCAAACGAGTTTAATTCAATCTGTAATCTAAATACAATACTTAAATGTATGATTATTAATAGCAGTAGCGTGTTACAATATATGCCACCTTACATGTTAAATTTTATAATTCATTGCACAAATGAGGAACATGTGTTGAATTCTCATCGTTGCAAAATTTTGCGAGAGATTTAAACGGGTTTAATGTACAGAAATATTAAAAACGCCACGACATATACAATCTGACAATTTAACACAAAACAGACAAACACTTGGCCTTTTACTAAATAATTATAACTGTGAATGGTACTTAACAGACAACACAGCACGTGGATTACAATAATTTGCACGTCATGTTAATGCAATTGAGAGCTCAAATAAATTCAAAGAAATATTTATCTTCAAACAGATAAGGACAGAGGGAGTGAACTTTTTTAATTCCTTTAAACACATACTTTTTGAAATTAGTTGATGATGGGAGAAAGTAGTTACTATCTACTAAATCAACATGACGATACGCTGTAGGTCCTAGGTTTAAATTGCGGCGGTGTCATTTTATTATTTCAATCCAAAGTAAACTTTGAAACAACAATAGGTATGGTTGACATTTTTCTTTTTAATGTAAAGGCAGGGAATGTCATAGGAAATACAATATTGTCATAACCTAACTACATAAACATACTTTTTGGTTCACGTTTAAACGAACTAAATTGACTAATAAACCTTTGTAGCCAATGCACGGTTCTAAAAAGAACCATTGGAATATTAACTATTACAAAATTACATAATCTTCTCTTCAAAAAATAAATAATACTATAATAATTTTACAGTTCATACTAAAAGAAACAAATATGTACTCGCCCCTATGCTAACTTAAGTAAAACAAAGTCACGGATAAAATATATTGAGAAAAATAGTTCGGGAAATAATAACACTGCCAAAGTGTAATGATCAAGATTCGATTACCTGTATATATACTTAAAAAAAAAAGCATTGAGGCTCAATGCAAAATGATATAAGTCTGGAAGTGTTATTATTTTTCGAGCTAAAAGGCCCGAGAAAATAAAACACGACCGTCAAAAAGTTAAAAAAAGTCACGCTACTCCTAAAGTGTTTTCTTTTATCTATGAATGTACTTCTAAATGCACCAAGTGGCCTTATACTACGATCCATTCGGCGCATCGGGTTTTACGTATAAGTTAGTTCATTCTTTTAATTATTATGTATGGGAAGAGGATGTGCTTCGCTGTTGAAAACGTAGCGGCTTAAGTCGATCATATA